GGGGGGAGGGTCATCAGGGCTCCTGCAGTGCTTTCCCTCCCCCAGGCCACAAAGCAGCCCTGAGAGGGCGAGCGCCTACCTGCCTGCAGTGGGGCAGAAAGGCGCAGCTGCCAGTTCCCGCGCCCCACCGCCAGGCTCCCGGCCTCCAGGGCGCTGACCAGGGGCCCGTCTGCCGGCTCCTTTTCAAGGCGGTCACTGACGTCCTGCAGACGGGAGAGAGCGTGGGCAGTTGGGCCGAGTGCGACTGCCAGGGGAGTTTCCACCACCCAGGACTCACCTGGAAGAACTGCAGCTGCTTCTCGGGTCCCCAGAAGAAGGGGTGCTGGAGCACCTGTGCGGCCGAGGGGCGCAGGCGGGGGTCACTGCTGATCATGGCTTCTATCAGGTCCCGCCCTACTAGGTGGCCTGAGAGAGCAAGCAGGCAGGGACCTTCAGTAGGCTGTCCAAGGATCTGCCATTGGTCCGAGGGCAATTTGTCCCTACCTTTACCAGACCCCTGCAAGGTTGGCTAGCATAGCAGCAGGGTGAAGCCGAGGGGAAAGGGCTCGGCCACGGCTGAGTAACAGATGAGCAAGGAGCTCCAGGGAGGCACGGAGTCATCCCAAGTCCTGCCAGCCGAGAGAGGCTTAGTGGAGCTGGTTGGAGACCCAAAGCAGGCAGGGTGGAAGGAAGGGGCCTTCCCCACAGGGCCAAAGCATCCCACGGCACCCTACTTACTGTGAGTGTCCTGCTGGAGCCTCAGCAGTTGGTAGGTGCCCGCCAGAATGTTGGCCTGGCGATGGAAGCTGTGCCCAAAGGGATGCTGCCCGTGGGACAGGACGTAGTAGAAGATGCAGCCGGCGGAGAAGATGTCCACCCCGCAGGTCTGTTACGAGAGCAGGAAGCCATGGCCAGATGCTGGCGCTTCCGTGAGTCTTGGATGGCTCAAGGTTAGATTTCTATCCTGCCTTTTCCCTGGCCCTCTATTTCCCCTGGGGTGGCACCCTGGGAGGAGGGCAGGGCAGGGTGAGGCCCCCAGAGTCCCCAGGGAACTGGGACTCTCCTCCCCGGGAGCCCAAAGGCAGGGCGGTCGGCCGTACTCACTGGGCTCTCCTGTGCGTCCTCCCTGAGCATCTCGGGCGCAATCCACCCCTCCGTGCCAGGGATGCCCGAGCCGAGGCTGAAGCTCTGATGCCCCCCCTGCAGCTTCTTGCACAGGCCAAAGTCGGAGATGACCGCTCGGAGCCTCCCTTGCCCGTCGGGGGCCGAGATCAGGATGTTGCAGGGCTTCAGGTCACGATGAGCTGGAAGGAAAAGGTGCTCAGCACAAGCCCAGCCTCCGTTTCAAGGGGAGGGGGAGGCCACGGCCCCTTGCTGCAGGGGGAGGGTCTCACCTATGCTGAGCGAGTGCAGGTGGGCCAGTCCGGACATGGTCTGGGTCAGCAGGGAGAGCGAATCCATGCCCTTTCCAGGGAAGACGGAGCTCTCCACGTACTGGCGGGGGAGAAAGGGGAGAGGGCAGGGCAATCCTTGCCAGGAGACCCCGCCTCCTGCATCAAGCCTGTCTCCCCCTCCCCCACTCACCAACCCCCCAGCTATGCAGCCTTCAAGCCCACTTCAGGAGATGGACCCCTTTCGGACGATCGGTTCACAAGCGTTTGGGAGGAGACACTTCCAAACCACACTTGACGTACTTAAGCAAAAGTTAATTCTAGCCCTCATCCAGACACACTTGGATTTCCCGTCATTTTTGAACATTTGGACAGATGTAAGTCGGGGTCTCCATGTTCAGAACAGAAAGTTCCCAGCTCAGGATGGCTTCTCAAGGGCAAGAAACCCAGGCAGAACATCTGGAGCCAGATGGGGCCAGCAGGCTGGAGGGAAGTGGTGTGGTTCGCCAGCAGCCTGTGCAGACGGCAGCGGAATCGGACAGTGGGGAAGAACGGGGACCAGTCCAAGAGCCTGGGGTAGACTCAGATGCAGAAATGGGGCCAGGACCATCTGGGAGTGGGGTGCTGACTCCGGAGCCTCCAGAGTCTGGCAGCAGTGAGGCAGAGGACCCAGGGGAGCCTGTTCCCAGTGCGCGCATGCTCAGAGCTGCCAGAAGGCAAGAGCAGCTGAGACAAAAGGGGCGACTCAGGAGTAAGGCTTGGAGGTGATTGCCCCTTCCCATAAGATATAATGGAAGTGCAAAGGGACAGGAACCTTTGCAGGAAGCAACGTTGTTCATTCTGATCGGTTTGGAACCTGAAAGCTCCGTGGTTAATTTGTGTCCCGTTTGGTTTTGAAAGACTAATTGTGACTTTAGTCGTTGGCAGCACTTCAAGTAAGATAAAGGTGCACTCTTATCAGACTTCTGAAGAAATTTGGCAGACTTCCATGGGACTATTTGAACCAGTTGAGACTCATTACTGGCTGTGAATGAGGATAATTCACAGCCATTGAACTAAAATAAAAGAGTTGTGGATTTAATGTGTGTTTGTGGGTGTCTCAGGAAGCCTTGGTCAGAACAGGAAGCCGCGCCGTTTCACAGGATAGGTTTATGGAGTGCAGCACATCGGGCATGAGGACTGTTCGGGGCAGGTTAATATTTTCCTCTTTGGAACAAAATGATGGCAGGGATGCTGGGAGGGGCCGGAGGTGGGGGTCCCAGCAGGCCCATCTCCTCACCTGCTGCAGGGTGGCAGAGCACAGCTCCAGGGCGATGTAGTGGAACTGCCCATCGACCTCTGTGCAGAAATAGCGCACCACATTGGGATGCGCGTCCGATTCTCGCAGCAGCTGCACCTCCCGGTCCACCAACCGGACGCTTTCCGGAAGCAGACGCTTCACGGCCACGTCGCGCCCATCGAAGTGGCCTCTGCAGAAGGAAGCCGCCCAGGTGAGGCGATAGGGAGGAATGGCTTCTCCTCTGTGCCCAGAATGCCCACCTCCCCTCCTCCCAGCAAAGCCCCCGCTCTGCCTCTGCTCTCTCAGGAAGCGCCAAAGGCTGACTGGGTCACCTGGGAGGATGCCCAGCACTTCTGCATCCTGGATGACAGTGAGAGGGAGGCTCATCCTGCTGCCCCTTCCAAGTGCCAAGGTTGGCTCTGAGCAACACAGGACCCTCAGCCTGCAGGGAAGCCCCTCGGTTGGATTTCAGGGCTCGGCATGTGCTTCAGGGACCCCTCCCCAACTTGTTCATCAGCTCCAACTCACCGGAACACAAAGGTGCCCCCGGCCCCCCGGCCCAGCACCTCCTGGGGTCTGAAGGAGAGCTTCCCCACAGTGACCACTTCTGGGGAGAGGGAGAGAAGAGGGGAAGAGAGCAGAGGAACAGACTCCCCCCTGAAGAAGTCACCCTACTGGCCCCTTCGACACCCCCTCCCCCTCCACGCTAGCTGGGCAGGTACCCACCTGGATCAGGGCTCTGGAGGGGGGCTTCATCCGCTGAGGCGGAGGGGGCGGGAAGCTCTGCCCCCTGGTGGAGCTCCAGGGACCCTTCAGGAGTCGTCCTTGGGAACGGAGGAGAGGCTGCAGGCGGCGGCTGGCTGGAGTTGCGCTCAAGAGGAGCCCTCTGGGAAAGCGGCAGCAGGAACGAAAGGGGAAGAGACCATCTGCCTTTACTGCTGGGGGGGGGCATCATCAGGCCAGGGGCAGGACTGCCTACATCCTGGTGGAGACCCCTCCCCAATAGTGGCCATGAAAGGTGCCTCCTCTAGCAGCTGGCAGGGACCGACGGGAGCCTCTCCTGGCCTCGGTCCGGGGCCCCTGCAACCCCCCCTCCCAAGCGCAGAAAGCCTGAAGACGATCAGGTGAAGCCCACTCACCCAGAGCAGGAGGCAGAGGAGCCCCCCGCCCCAACAGATGGAAGCCACGCCCACCACCACGAGCTCCCAGCTGCCAAACGAGGGATCCACTTCCACTGGGGCCTCCTTCCCGGCATGATCCCCCCAGGGCCGACCATCAGCCAGGTCTTCCTGCGGGACCTCAGGGGTCAGGAACTGAAACAGACCAGGAAGCTCTTGGCGAGGATGGAGGGGGGGGGCTGGAAATGGGGCAGGGGTGGGATTCAAATGTCTTTACTACCACTTCTGTGGGCGTGGCTTGGTGGGCGTGGCAGGGGAAGGAGACTGTAAAATCTCCAGTCAGAGGCGGCATTGGCCGCTTCTCCAAACTACTCAAAATTTCTGCTACTGGTTCTCCAGAACTGGTGAGAACTTGCTGAAGACCACCTCTGAAATGGGGCCAGCCAGGGCCCCAGATGCTGCCTGCAATGGGGAAGGGGAGCAAGCACGCCCCCTGCATGTGCCTCTTGCTCCACCCACCCACCCCCGCACATTCCCACATTAGCTTGTGACTGTTGGGGTGTTTGCAAGAAAAGCCTGGAGGACACCAGGGCTGAATCGCTGCTCGCTCTGCCCCTTCTGACCATGACCCTGGGTGAAGCAGCCCGGAGTGCCAGGCGCGAGGCTGGACCTCCCTCTTAGAAGGCCATCATCACCCGGACTGGAGGAATCGGCCCTGCAGCCCTTCCCCCCCCCCCTTGCCCCGTACCTCTCCGAAGAGGCTGTGAGCACGGGAGCTGTGTGGTGAGGCAACCTCTGGGTTCCTCCGCAGGCTGCTGGGAGGGGCCCTCAGCATGGTGGTGTGGACTAGCGGGGGCATCTCATGATGACCTGGAAGGAAGCGGGGAGCCCGGAGTCCCCCTGCTGAGATGGGGGCCCTCACCAAGGAGACCATCCCATGGCTGAGCTCAGCCCGTCTGCATTGCCTCCCTTCCAAAGCTTCAGGTGCTTTTCTTCAATCCCAGCCATCCTCTCTGCCCATTTCTAATGCTGATCGTCAGGGACCTTCAGTTTCCCCCAAATTCTCCCCCCCCCCCCCTTCCCTTCCTGGACCTCAGAGACTTTGCCCCCCCCCTTGCAAAGGCACCACACACCCCATCCAGGGATCAGTGGGAAGGGGGGGTTCAGCCATGCCTGCCAGTATGTACACATATGTACATGTCGCACCTTATGATTCTTGACAAATGTATCTTTTCTTTTTATGTCCACTGAGAGCATTTGCACCAAAGACAAATTCCTTGTATGTCCAATCACACTTGGCCCATAAAGAATTCATCCACCCATCCACCCATCCATCCATTCACCCATCCACCCATCCATCCATCCATCCATCCATCCATCCATCCACCCATTCATCCACCCATTCATCCATCCATTCATCCATCCATCCATCCACCCATTCATTCATCCATCCACTCGTTCATCCATTCATCCATCCACCCATTCACCCATCCATCCACCCAT